TAACTCAACGATTTATTAGTCATCACCGAGTGATGACTAATTATTATTAAATATGGGATATCCTCTTCTATTATGAATAAAAAACTATTTATAAACAAAATATTGGTATGAGTGCTATAAAAATAAGTTTAATCCAGAATAAACGACAATCTAATAGAAGAAACACAATAATAATAAAATGTATAAATTGTTGGATTACAAGTTATCTATAACGTACAAAATATAAATTTAAACTGTCTGCCTGGTATTTTAATTACATGGTTTTATGTTTGTGAGTTTTTATTGACAACTGCAATTTCATTTGTTACTAAAAAGTTATTTAACTAATTTTGGTGCAATTTTCGGTAGTTAGAGTAAATTTGTTTTTGTAAGTAACAATTTATTTGAATTGTTTTTGTAAAATAGCGGTATTGTGTAAATGAAAATAATTCATAGTACAAGCATAATACGTTAAAACCGAAACTCTGAAACTACTACCATTTAACCTCAAATACATTTCATATTTTTATAATTATTTTAAAATGTCTATAATATTATTACAATATAATTTTGTTTCCACCCGAATATATTTAGCTACATTAGAGTTAAACAAAATTGTCTGTATTCGACTATTGCACAAGGTCTGTTGAAATGTAAACAAATGAAAAATGTATGTTTTCCATTGGTATCATACAAATTCAACTTTATCGTTGCTCTTTAGCAAAAACTAGTTGTTTTCATATTTCGTTTTGTCGTTTGTATATTTAAGTGTTTGAACCATTTTTTTTTTTATAAATTACTGTAACAATGTAAACATATGAAAAATCTTTAAAATTTAATACAGTACAAAAAAAATGTATAGTTTTGTTTTTGGACGAAATCAAGTTTTCATTAAAATTATTTTTACATAGCTGTAATATTATCCCACAACATATCTATAACATTTATAATCAATGATTATGTATATTGAAGAAAACAAACCTTCACACACCGATCATTTTTATTCAGCCCAACCTAACCCGGAAATATAATTAATTATTCCACCCTAAAAAGAATGGGCCTCTATATGGTTAAATACATTTAGTTCAGCTTCATAACTGTAGATTTTGTATGATTCTGAAATAAATTATCCTCCGTTATTGAAAATAATATAAGACATATCGAATAAAAAAAGAAGAGAGCTTAATTCAATTAACATGAGTAAAACCGGAATAAAATGAGAAATTTATCAATATTATTCATGTAAACTATAATTATTTTTAGACTCTTTTTTTGTGGTAATTTCTTTTTTTTCTTTTATTTTTTTAAAACTGATCATGATCGGTTTGTAGGGTTACTTCCCTTCGTGTTTACCTAACCACCTAGGCGTTGTCCATTATTTTGTCCAACCAAAGGCGAATACCAATACTACCAGCCAGTTAAGGCAATCCTTTTCGCCGTGACCGCTTGGCACGAACTCGGATAAGAGCCCGGACAAACCCAAACAATTTCCCAAACCCCATTCCTTAGAAGGAGAGAAAAATGTTGTCTATATTTATCTTTTTCCATCAAAGTTTTAGGCCTTATGGTCTGAAAATTAGACTGGAGGTAAAACTAGTGCAGGGCTGACATAATGTAGGGAATTTTTTGGCTGAATCAACAATGAACAATATTTATTCAGTTCGAACGCTTTACAATATGTTTTTTTTGTTTTTCTGGCATACTCTTTGCAAATTTAAAACCAAGGGCCTTCCCAAATGTTTGGCACACATTACATTATTGCTGTTTACTCTGTATGATCAGGTGTAGTTTCTGTATTTTTGCTAACGGATCGACATAGGTAACTCGATATTCATTCGTTAAATTCCCTCACATTCCTACAGTTGTTCTTAACGTTTACCGCAATATACTCTTATTCGCATTATAATGGCAACTGTCAGTTATTACTTTATTGTTTTATCTGTCTGTGTTGTCTGTACGTTTGCAAATCGTACGTACAAATTATATTTCATTTTTATACCACAATTCATAGATACAATTAAATACCTAAATATAAATAAAAATATTCTATGGTTCATATAACCAGCTATTATGTTTTCACTATACATTTATCGCTAATTTTTTTTTTTTTAGATGGATTCAAACATAATTACTTAGTTCTATTTGGAACAGATCTTTACAGTAATTATAAATATGTCAACCTTAACTTTACATACTCATAATATTATTTAAATGTCATATTATTCTAAAAATAATCATAGGCGAACATAACATTTGGTTTTTGGGGGGGTCTAAATAATATAGTACATGTAAAATTATTAAGTAAAAATAATTTATACAATAAAAAAAAATAGTATTTTTCAAAAAAATGGTAAAAAATATATTTTTACAAGAACAATTTACTTTTTGAAACGTCTATTACTACAATTTTAAAAAATGTAAAAAATCTTTGAACTATGACGAAATAAGCGTGTTTGTTTATACTTAGCATCATACAATTCTTATTTTTTTAGTCAAAATTTATAGATGTTTAAAACTATTTAATTGAAAAATTGATTTGCAATTCAAATCCTAGAACAAAAGCCGCAATGGAAATATTTTTAAAATGACAATAATATTTTTATAAAGATATTGTTTTTTTTTTTATTAGAATAGACTGAATAAAAGGTAATAAAGTTACCACTCTCTCGTTTGCATACAATTGTGATAAATTATCATACTTATAGTGTATATACTAGAATGAATAATAGGGGACTTCATTTCTAAGTATTATTTAAAGGTTATAAAAAAAGTGTGAGTTGAGAAACAAAAAAAATAGACGAAATATAATGTTCCTTACTAAGTTAAATGTTAAAAATTGTACTGTTAGTATTCTTAGTAATCACATAAATAAAATATGTGTTCGATTTAAAGTAATATTTCTTTTTATCACAGCCAAGGGTCTTCTGTCGTTGGTACCTCAAGGTAAAAGTATAATAATCTTATATAATTGATATATTTTTATTTTATAATAATTTTCTTGCAGATGGTAAAATTGTTACACCTGCGGGACCACTTGATCCAGATCATATTAGTCCAGGTATTATGACATTTTTTATTTTAGATTTGAGTAATATATAAAAGAGTGATGAACTATTATATATAATTATATATAACTATTAAATGATCAGATAGGTCATAGTTTTTTGGGAAACTATTGTTACGAAAGTATTAAAATACCTTTTAAATAAACATTTCCATCAAAATCTATGATAATACCAATCGTAGACTTACTAAATAAACAAATCAGTCCTGCGTTTCCGCCCATATACACTTTAAGCACTATTTTGTCATTAATTGTTTTTATTTTATTATTTAAAAAATAGTTTGTATACATGTAACAGAGATAAATGTGCTGAGTATTTAGTTGACACACATTTTTTCGATGGCAATAATTTGTTATTTATAATTTTAAATGTATCTTCAAAATTATTTCACTATTGTATCAAATATATTTAATTTAAGTTTTCAAATTCTAAAAGAGCTTGTATAGTGGGGTTCAGTCATATTGTTGACGGTGAAGTCACAGGTTTAAAGAATTTGTTATAACCAAAAGTGACAAAGTCACTTAGTTTAACACTTTCCTACTGTACCAATTTTTATTTATTAAATTTAGTTAAACCTGTAATTTCACCTTGATTCAGTTTAAGGGGAGGTGGGCAAGTGCCATTTTTTGCTACACCTAAGGCAAAATATTTCGGCACAGATGTTTTATTATTTTGTAAAATAATTTATATTGTATATTATGTTTTATAAAAAATATTTCTGCTTTACAGATTCGATGTTTATTATAGCTAACCAGTGAGTATTCATATATTTATCAACGCTTTACTAGGAAAAACATGTTCGACTAGTTTTTTTACAAGGTCAAAATCAGTTAAGCCAGTAGCGGCACCAGAATTTTAGCATTAGGTGGGCCAGCCAGAGGTCAACATTTTTTTGGTGGGGGGGGAGCTAGTTTTAAGCTAGATATTAACCCCACATCTCCCCTAAATCGCATCTAATATTAGGCACACTATAACGAAACTGAATAATAAAAAGTAACTAAAAATATTTCAAATTAACAATAAATACTTAATGTTTTAATGTTCCGATTCATATATACAAGAAATACACACAGTAGGTATGTCTTTTTTAATAAAACAATAATATGAAAAAGATTCAATGTTTAGTGTTGAACGCATAATGTTACAATATTTTTGTATTCTTTTAAGTCATGAGACCGTTTTTTTATAATGGATTGTAATTTATTTTATAATCAAACAAATTATAGGTGCCCGTAGTTTATCACACTACCAATAATTTCTATCAACTATTGTGGGGGCTATAACAAATGAAGTAGTTTATAGCTGGGTAACGTTTTCAATCGCCGATTTTGTTATGCTTTAGCTTCGTTATTGTTTTTAATAGTGTATTATTATTATTCGACATATTACAATATAATTAATTACAATCGAGAGCAAGCAACCTACCTCATTTTATAAGAACTACTTATGCCATGCACAGGATATTTAAAAAATTAAATTATAACTATTTTATTTTAATATATAATAGCCCCAATCATCCTGCTTACCACGATGCTCTCAAAAAGATTGAAAAGACCTTGTTGCCTGGTGATGATATATACAAATTAAGTTTTTCTTTTGAAGCTAAAGAACTGGACTTTGGACCTATAAGCGTTGAAGTAGGACACTTTAAACTTTTATCTTATTGATTGCGGCATTATGATTATACTATAATGTTATGGTACTGATATATAATAATATATAATTATAAATGATACTTCTTGGACTGAAAAAACCTTTATTCTAAGAAGTATGAATAAAATAATATAATTACAATTTTCGAATAATTATACATTTACAATTTTAAATAAACATAAAATTACAATAGTTTCATTTGTAATAACATATGATGTCATAGTAACACAATAAAATCATTTTTATATAACTATATAATCATGTGATTTTCGTAAGTAATTGCCCTTAAATACTTCTTTATAGGTATTGCCACATAGAGATGGATTAAAAAACGATGAATTAGCCAAAGAACTAGACTTGGGATCCATAACCGTTGATGAAAGACAATCTGGACCTATGAGCGTTGATGAAGGACAATCTGAACCTGTGAGCGTTGATAAAGTACAATCTGAAGTTTAATCTTATTGATTGCGGCATTAATATGATATGTTACTGGTATATTTAAAATTATATTATTGTACTAAAAAAAAAAAAAAATACACATTTTAAATGATACTTCTTGGCATGAAAAAGAAAACCATATTCTAAGAAGTGTAAATAAAATAATTATATAATCACAATTTTTGAATAATTATACATTTTCAATTTTAAATAAACATAAAATTACAATACTTTTATTTTTAATATCAATATAGTGTCATAATTAAACAAGAAAAATATTTTAATATAAATATATGGTCATGTGGTTTTCATACGTTATTGAACTTAAATACTTCTTCATAGATATAGCCAAGTATAACATAGATCTTAGACAAATTTTTTGACCTTACATTTGTTTTTATTTAGGTCTAGAGCAATTATTAGTAATATTCAGTCTAATCGACCAAATCAACTTGTTTCGCATTTTACCTTAGTCCCAAAATCTACCTGGAAAACTTACAGATTTATATTGATTTGAATAGTTTATATTACTTATTACTTGACTTTACTTGACTTTATTTTATAGTTTCCAAGTAGACAATAAGCACACATTAAAAAACAATACCTTTATTATATAATTTTAGTTCTAATAAACACGTTTAAGATCCACTCTTTGGCTATAAAACCACAAACAATATTTACTATTTTATGACAAAAAATATAACTCTTTTTATATCTTTTAATTAAATCATAATTAAGACAAAATATCACAATTTAGAGGTGTTACCCAGCTTGAGCTAACCAACGAATTTTCGTTGTCAATTCTCATGTTCCGACACATAAAAACGTAAAAAATAAGCAAGTTAATATTTTAAAACCAATCCTAATAGTTTTCCATAATAATTCAACAACATGAATAAGTAATTTTTCTCGATAACAACGTGTGCTTTTTAATATAATGAGTAAACAATTGTATAATATATTTTTTAATAAATAAATACATACTTTAATTTTTAAAAGTTTAAAAGTTTTTAAGATTAACCTCATACATAAAATGTATGTTATTTACTAGACTCATTCACATTACCAACAGCAAGAATTATCTCATTTTCAGAGACCACCATCGTTGTGCTTTTTGGGGGGTGGACAAAACATTTAATGAACGCTAGGTATTCATTTTATATCTACTTCGTTTCTTATACACTTTTACTTTACAAAGGAATCGCCACTATTTGAATGACCATTAATTGCAAAAATAATCTCAATATAAATATGACCGAATGTCAGCTGATAAAAGCACAGAACTACGTAGTAATAAGCTGTACTTTAACCATGTAAAATGTAGTTTTAATATGATTTCTACATACAATTGATGATTCAATTTGAGTATTTCTTCCCAAAGTATGATGGTTTTGAATTGATGTATGTTTTAATGATATTTTATAACATGCTTCTTATAACTAAAAAACAATGATAATAGTTATTAGTAGCAAATAATAATATTATTATTAATAGCAAATATAAGTTAGTAAAAAATTGCATTAACTACTAATATTTATTTTAAAGGCACATCAAGAAGTATGTTAACTTCAACTATAGTCGCTACTGTACGTACAAATAAAGGGCATCAATTTAGATCGAATGCAGGTCCCATAATATCATCATTGTTATAACTCAATAATGTTTCAATATAAATCTGTTGTAGTCTTTGTTTCGAAACTAAAGGTAAACGTAAATGTTTCATAAGAACCAGAAACAAGGCATTTCTATGTTATAGCGTATCCAACCAATGATAAAATCGAAAATCAAAAATAACCTCTCAAATAAACTTGACAATATCATCAAACTCAGTCATAAAGTATTAGTAATGCTGGATCCAAATTCACAATTTCGCTACAACAAATTATTAGTTTTATTATTATTTAAAAAAACTGTTGTAATTACATGTCAATTTGGATTCCTCGTGGAATCGTTTGAAAACATGACAATTCAATTTTCCAATTTCTCATCATAAAAACCCAATTTATTTAACATGAGAAAAGAAAAAAATTGAAAATCTGTTTCCTACAGAATTGAAATCGGACCATCCTAAGTATAGTCAATAGTTTGTTTAGTTTTTTAGTCAAAAACTTGAAAAAAAAAACCGAATGCACGAAACTCCCTTAAGTACAATATTTTCGGTTAGGTATCCTTGAAAAGGTTTCTTTTATTCATAACATATTAACATTGATTATAAGTAGATGTTATTTATACTCTATTATAGATAATATTAATAATAAATGATAATATGTATTGGATAAAACAATTTGAAAATTAATCTATAATTATTGTAAAATCAGGGTTCTACAATACAAAAAAATAAATTGAAACATTGAAGTTCATCCTCTGACATTCTTTAAAAATGTGTAGTCTACACGTTTATGGAATTAAAAACATATGTTCCCATTTTGAAAAAACCGACGCCCATACTTGTATACGTAAAACAAGTATCGACCTTGTTTTTTTCGAATAGCAACAAATATTTTTAAAACCAAACATTTTTAGATGGAATTTATTAAACAATTTTAGCGTTTGGACTTTAAGTTATAATCATTCTGTTCGATTTCTATTCTTTTGCAAAGATATTACAGTTCCCCTTACAATATTACATTACTTTTTATGTTAAGTTTTAATGATTAAAAAAAAAGTACTAAAAATAAAATAATACACATTATGCAGAAAAATCATGCTCTGTGAAAATATATATTTTTTTATTTATGTTGAACTAAAATATTTTGATTTATGATAGAAAATCTAAATCATTCAATTGTACATCGGGTTTTTGACTTGGGTTGGAGGAAATATTTATTTTTTTAATTTTTATACCACTAGGCGCTAATGTATAATTAGTAGATATAAATATAAAACTAGCATTTCAATTTTAGTTGAATTTTTTGTATTATACAAAAACCAAGGTTACGAATTACCGCATACAGCACATTTTACAATCACAGCTGCAATGTACATAAATGACAAATATTTTAAATCGAACATTTAATGTTGATTTTTATAAAAATTGGTATTTACTATAATTGTATGTAACAATAGAGTGGTATCATACAAACACAATTTTAAAGAATTTAAAAACACAAAGAATAAAACATAACACAACTAGAAATCGACCTGGAAAATTTTTAGTGGATTTTAGTTGTATGCTTTATAGTATACTTAAAAAATTAATAAGATAATAAAAACCAATAAAATTCGATTTGTAAAATATAACAGATCCTATAATGTTCAAATAAAATATTAATAAATGCAAGACAATAGTTTTAACTAGTAAAAATAGAAAATTAAATTCGCTGAAAACATTTTGTGTTTTCGACAAAAAGTAAATTATAAAAACTATACGAATATTGTTTACATTTAATCAATATTCTAAAAATTATTATTTCAATACCTAGAACTCTAATTAAGTATTTTGGTTGATAAGAAATTTTTTTTTTTTTGCCAGCGATAGTAAATGTGTTACGAAGCTAAGATTTACATTATTTCTTATTACTATAAAAGTGTTGATTAAAACGAATATAATTGTGTGCGATATTCTGATAGCTTAGTTGAGTTTGAGCTTGTAAACAAAAATGTAATAAGCACATGTTAATGTTTAGTTAAGCCTTTTGGGACGATATCAACAGTTCGGTCTAGAAACAATAATAATTTATGTAGACATAACTTAACTTTGACATGTTTTCAATTGAATTGTAATTTACAATACCTAAAGTAGTTAAACCTAAGACATAAGAACGTAGGCCACATGATAATAATGTTCAAATATGTTATTTTCAACACAAATATGATGCTTGTTTGTTGGTTTTGTACTTTTAAAGTCAATATTAAATTTACTTAGATTTCTGTAGTTAATAGGCTTAATACATAAGACGTGTATAGAGTAACCAAACAAAATCCACCTTGACATTATTAGAGGCCTCTACACCTGTGTATTTTCTATCGAACACAACTGTTTTGAAATTTAACCGTACTCTGAAAACTGGTACACATTTTTCAATAATGGTTTGTGCATAATTCGTAGTACATTTTTAAACTGTGGCTTTAAATCTTATTGTAAAGATTATTATTAATATTATACACCCTGTAAATTGAACCATATAAACACTTTTAATTTGATTTCTAGCTATATGTGTATTGAAATGATTTTTTTATATTATTATTATAAATATATTCCCCCTAATACACATTTAAATTGTTTAATTACGTCATTGCCTATTCAATCGCTTTTATCGGTGATTGATATAATATTTACCATCTACAGAGTTGCATTGAAAGCGTTTTTTTAATAATGTTTTATCATTTTCAATATATGTACATTAAGATTCCTATTTTGTCTTATAACAGATAATAATCATATATTTAAAATAAAATATAATATATGTTAAAAATGTTAATAAATTGTAACAACTAACATCCATAGGTATGTTTCATTTGTTTACATTGCTACAGTAATTTCAGAAAAATGTTTCAAACACTTAAATACATAAGCGACATGGTAACGAAATATCTAAAAACAGCTTGTTTTTGCTAAAAAACAATAATAAAGTTGAATTGGTATGATACCAAACAGGCAAATGACATTTATCAGTTGTTTACATTGCAACAGTCCTTGTAAAATAGTCGAATACATAAAATTATGATTAAACTCTAATAAGCTCATTATAAAGCTAAATTTTGTCCAGGAGACAAACAATATTTAAATGTAATAATATTAAACTATTTTAAAATAATTGTAAATATATAAACTTAGTTCCAGTTAATAACTTGTGACCAAAAAAATGTAGAATTATTGTTTAATTGTTTTGATAAACAATTAAAATGTTAATTCAAACACAAACTAAGTGTCCTTAAAAACAACGAATATTTTATTTTCTTGCTATACCTACATTTAATCATCCTTAAAAATCGAGGAATTAATATATTCATAATTTACTCTTTGAAAAACAAAACATGTAATTATGCAAGTTGTTCAAAAATTAGGAAACACTTGATTTTCAGCTTAAGTCAATCTAATATTTTACAAATACCCTATTATAATAACATCACTTTCAATCCTTAAAATAAAATTCAATATGTTCAAGTATTCATATACATACTTGTGACATAAAATAACAACAACCAAATTATTAATTCAAAAGAACTGTAATTTAGTATTTTGCTTGATAGGATATTTTTTTTTTAGCCAAGGATTGAATTATGTTACAAAGCTAAGATTTACATTATTTCTTATAACTACAAAAGTGTTGACAATAACTAAAGCAGATGAGTATAAATCGTCAGGACGTTACACATATCTGTTTTTTTCAAAACAATGTATTTGTACATGAGTAACCTACATATTTTTTTAGTTTTATTTGAAAACATGTTATTATTTGAACAATACACGCGCACGATATTTTTCTGCTCGTGTATGAAAACTCGGATTGTACTTAGACTGAAAGGCTTCTGTCCCTCGAAAATTTTAATCTAGATTCACCCCAAACAAGTTTTATTTATACGCCGAATTTGAATTTTTATAACAGATATCAGTTCTTGACAGTTCTTTTACTGGCCGATCTCTCCATTTTATAGGTTTTTTTTATTAATAACTAACAAAAACTGCATGCATTTTTGTAACCTGCTATTAGCAAATAATTTGTGAAAATAAGAAGCTCTACAAAACGGCTATAGTAATAATTAAAGATACATTTTGGGGAACAAAAACCTATCCGAATTCAAAGTCCGCAAATTTCTACCCTATCCCACAGAAGGGGAGGAAACATTTGGCTATATTTATCTTTTTCGAGCTAAGTTTTAGGACTGAAGGTCTGAAAATTAGGCTGAATGTAGATCTAATGCGGGGCTAAAAAAAAGTGAGACATTTTTCGGCTGAATCCACAGAGAACCATATTTATTCGATTCGAACGCTTAACAATGTGGTTTATCGTCTTTCTGGCGTACTCTTAGCAAATTTAAAACCGAGGGCCCTCCAGGACGCATTACATTTGTGTTGGTTTATTTTTAATTATTGTTGTTTACTATGTATGGTCAGGTGTAGTTTCTATATTTCTGTTAACGGGTCGACATAGGTAACTCGAGCTTCATTCGTTAAATTCCCTCACATTCCTACAGTTTTCCTCAACGTTTAATACTCTCAGTCGCATTATAATGGCAACTATCAGATCCTTTTTTATGGTTTTATCTGTCTGCGTTGTCTGTTTGTTTGCAGATGGTATGTATAATTTATATTTTTATACCGCAATCCATATATTGATATATAAATATACATATATACATATACATATATATATATATATATATATTTATATTCTATGATTTATCAATCTAGCTCTCATATTTTCACAATATATTAATTATCGTTAATTTTGTTTTTTTAGATAGATTCAAGAAACATGACTTACTTCTCTTAAATGCTAGTAATGGTAATTATAATTATGTTTACCTTAACTATACATAATCATACTATTATGTAAATGCCTTATCATTATAATAATAATCATACGCGAACATAAGACTTAATTTTTAGTGGGGTATATACAGGTGTCCCATTTTAAAATACTAATCAATTTTTCACCAAAAATACCAATCCAATCAAAATATTGCTTGTTAGAGACTTTTAGTGTACAAACTTTTTTTTAGACGTCCCCCGTCTAAAAAAAAATATGGTCAATAATTCAAAATGGCTGACTTACGATCAAAAACATGTTTTTTTTAAATGGAAACCATGTATTTTTTGATAACCAAACAAATGTTCTTATAAAAACTAACTAACTTAGTTGTTGACATTTTATTTAAATAGTTTAGGCACTATTTTTTTTTTAGAAAAACCATGTAATTTAAAAAAAAATGACACTCCTCTTTGATCCACTTACCACATTTACATTCGCACATATACTTATGCTTTTCATAAGTACTCACAAAATGTAATTATAAAAAAAAATTGGCACACTTTGTCATACAAGTGGTCACTCATCAAGATAATATACACATGAAAATTTAATGTAAGTACTAAGTAAATACTATGATGTATTATATTATGTACTATACGCATCGTCGTCAACAAATAATATCTGTCTATAGATAAAACCAGTCACGAAAAAATCGTTATTTATTTTACCATACCGAAAGTCTAAGTATGTTTTCCTAATAGGTTCATGTCTGATTTAATTTTCAGAGTTAGCTAATACAAAAATGTATTTTTAAGCAGAATAATGAGTTAAAGCTTAATAACATAGCCATTTATTCTAAAACCTAAAATTGATGATCAAACAAAAGAATGTGACATTTATTCAAATCCCATCATCCTTTTTTGTTTGTGGTGCACAAAAGTTTTCCCCAAATTTGACTAAACCACTCATTTGAGTTATCATAGTATAACCAATGAAAATGTCTAATTTGTTTTAAAACATTTTTTTATTGGTTAAAATTAGAGTCTATTGTTTTTTTATAAAAATCAAACAAAAATAATCCCGAATATTTCAATATTAACTATATTTAAGTCGGTTGATAATCACAAAATTAATTAATGCGTTAGATTTAGAGTAATGTATATTTTTTTATTCCAGAGTTGGGTGTTATGCGTTTTGTACTTGAAGGTAAAAGTATAACAAAATGGGTTCTAAGATAAAATGTTATTTTATAATATTTTTCTTGCAGACGGTGTATGCCCGGTACGTCAAGATAGACTAGGTAAATATGAAATTCTTAAATTTAGTTTTAGGTAAAATTATATTATTAATTTCATTGCATTTAAATATCCAGATTAAGGGCACCTTTAGGGAGGGACAGGGGGATGGGGCAACTTTCTCATTGCTTCTCTGCAAATTAAACAAATGTATATCCCTCGTGAATTATCACCTGCGGGCTCCATTGACCCAGATTATTCTAATCTAGATATTATGACTTTTACTAATTTAGATTTAAGTAATATATATATGGATTGGGGCATAGTGGTGATGGCTTATACTAGAATCAGAGAGATCATAGTTTTTTTTAGGAATTATTATTACTGAAAGTATTGAAATGCCTTTTAAATAAACATTTCCATCAAAATCTGTGATAATACCAATCATAGACTTGCTAAATAAACAAATCGGTCCTGCGTTTCCGCCCTTATACACTTTAAGCACTATTTTGTCATAACATAAAAAATCAACACCTAATAAACACAATTATTAGGTGTTGATTTTTTGGCCAACACAATTTTTTTTCGAGGGCAATATTTTGTTGTTCATAGTTTTAAATATGTCTTCAAAATTATTTTACTGGTGTACTAACAATGATTTAAGTTTTGAAATTCTAAAATCGCCAGTACAGTGAAGTCCAGTCACAGTGGAGACGGGGAAGTCAACGTTTTATAGAAATTACTATAACCTAAAATGATAAAACCACTTAAAAAAAAAAACACTGCCACTTACTTTAATACTTTCTTGCTGTACCAGTTTTTATTTTAACAAACTTAGTTAAAATTTTAATAAAACATTAATTCGGTTTATGAGGAGGGCGAAGTGTCCATTATTTGCTACACTTAAGGCAAAAAATGTCGACACAGATATTTTATTATTATGTAAAATATTTAACATATTATATTTTATTAACAACTCTTCTGCTTTACAGATTCGATGTTTATTATAAAAGCAAACCAGTGAGTATTCATATAGACGGGTAACAAATTCATTCGCTGATAATTACGACAAATATATTTTTTTTAATTAAAAGGAAAGGGATGAATTTTTAATTGTTGCCATTATAAAACACCTCGAGTGAACGATTTAAAAAAACTTATGCTATTGCACAGGATATTTGAAAAATAAAGTCATAACTATTTTATTTTTATTATCTATTAGTCCCCATCGTCCTGCTTACAAAGATGCTATGAAAAAGATTAATGGAAGCATGTTGCCCGGTTATGATAAGTACAAATTACGTTATTTGTTTAATATGGAGGATGTGCGCTTTGGAACTATAAACGTTGAAGATATTTGATATTTCCTGGATTAAAAAAAAACCCCTTATTCTAAGAAGTATGAATGAAATAATATAATTTAAATTTTTGGAAAAATAATACATTTTGAATTTTAAATAAACATAAAATTATAATAGTTTCATTTTTAATAACAATGTAATGTCATAATAACACAATAAAACTGTTTTAGTAAAAATATAAAGTTGTGTGTTTTTCATACGTAATTGACCTTTAAAACTTCTTTATAGCTATTGTCAAATATAACATATATCTTAGACACATTATTTGAGCCTACATTTGTTTTTATTTACGTCTAGAGCAATTATTATTAATATTCAGTCTAAACTACTAAATCAACTTGTTTCGCATTTTACCTTAGTCCCAAAATCTACCTGGAAAACTTACAGATTTATATTGATTTGAATAGTATAACATACATTTTTTCCTCGACAACATTTTTGTTGCTAATATTTTTTTAAATTTATGTCCAAAGCAACTTTAGTGAAATCTGCCAAAGCCACTTGTTTCACATTTTACCCTAGTCCCGAAAACTACGTGGAAAACTACCTTAATCGCAGATTTGAATATTTTAAACTATTACTTGACTTTATTTTATATTTTCCAAGTTGAATATCATATGATTTTAAAGAGACATCATTAAAATAAGACCAAATTCGTTTAGCTCTCCTGCCCTGTCTACCAATAAATAAATAAAAACTTTCAATTTTAAAAGTTTTGTTAAGAACAATGTCCCAATTTTACAAATTTTTAACAATTCCTTAGGGTAAATTGTAATTAAAAATTAATATTTTATAAATGAAATCATCCCGTTAAATGGTAATAAATTAGACTAAATTATACAGTTTTCGTTGACAAAAAAAAATGTACCTAGCAAAATAGTTCTTCGATTTCCATTTTAAATCATCTTCGTTTCTAATATTCTCATACTTAACAAGGGTATGGCCACTATTTGAACGACCATTAATTGCAAAAATAATCTGATTACAAATATGAACATATGTCAGGTGATAAAAGCATAGAACTTCGTAATAACATGCTGTACTTAAACCATATAAAAATGATGATTCAATTTGAGTATTTCTTCCTAAAGTATATATCGATGGTTTTGTAATCAGGGTAATCAGGTCCCTGATTGGAATATCGACAATATATACTCACTATCATTGTTATAACTCAATAATGTTTCAATAAAAATCCGTTGTAGTCTTTGTCTTCGTTTAAAAATTTCAGTGTCTTGTAAATAATATTTATTTATTTATTTTGAAAAAAAACAATTTTAAATGTTCCTTACATGATCTAGTTAAATTGTCAAAGAACACTTATATCTTTACACAACTGAAATCGGACCATCCTAAGTAGTCGACATTTTCTTTAGCTTTTTGGTTGGACCGCATGAAACTCCCTTAAGTACAAAAATATCGGTTGGGTATCTTTGAAAGCTTGTTTTATTCAATATATATTATCCTTAATTATAAATATTATAGATATTATATTATAGATAATGTTTTTAATCAATGATAATATGTATTGGATGAAACAATTAAAAAATGCATCTGTAATTATTGTAAAATCAGGGTTTTCCAATACAAGAAAATAAATAGTTCTAACATTTAACAATGTATAACAACACAAGGGCACCATTTCTTGTGAAATAGACGAATATATACAATTTTGTTTACTCTAATAAGGTTTTTTTTTTGTAGCTAAATCTATTCGGGTGGAAACAAAATTACATTATAATAATATATTAGAAATTTTAAAATGATTGTAAAAATATAAACTTAGTTTCAGGTTAAATAGTAGTAATAGTTTTTCGGTTTCTCCTTTAACGTATTAAGCTTGTACTCAGTACTATAAATTGATTTCCTTATTTATTTTTATTATTTATTTATTTTCATTTTAAATAACATATTACCGTGAATTCGTAAACAATTTTACAAAAATAGATCCTTTATGCGTTATAGAAGTTAAAAAGAATGCATTATAAAAATTATCTCTCTTATCTGTGTTGATATAAATGTTGACATATTTTAGGTTACTGTTAAATTTCATGTGAAATTGCCTACCCAATGCGCCTTATTTATGCTAGTGTAGAGAGGCCACTTAACATTGTATCTATACTTATTATCATTGATTATAAATATTATAGATATTATATAATAGATAATATGTATAATCAATCATAATAACATTTATTGGATAAAACAATTTTAAAAAAACTCAAAAATGTATGACAGTATTAAATTTGAACATTTATGATATTTGTCACAATTTTACATTGAATTAATAGCCATTACTTAACAATGAAACTGGTTTCGTTTAGTTCGTATATTTCTATACTATATATATATGTATATATAATATATTTTACTGATTGAATATTTTTAACCCTTGTAAGGGCATCTTTGTATATTACACTAGTGTATATTAATAATTTTTTTAAAACAACGCTCTAATAAAAATTTGTCTTTTGACATCAAAATGAAACTAAGTAGTACATTAATACATAGTAACTAGTCCATAGTTTGTTTTTAGTTGTAGTTTCAAATCATATTGCAAAAGTGATTACAAATTTTAGGTATTGCAAGTTTTTAAACAGTCATGTTAAGTTAACTGCTCCTGGGTTGCACAATGCGCATAAAGAGTGTGGACAACACCTATATTGAAACAGCCTATTGAATCGGACAGGAAGATTTTAACTATTCCATGATTGAATACGGTTCGCTTTTCTAAAATTATACAAATACCGTACAATACTAACATCCTACTTTCAATACTCAAAATAACATTCTCTACATGGTCACCTGTGTTACAAATTAACAACAACCATATTATCATTTCCAAAGAACTGTAATTTTGTATTTTTTGTTGATAAGTCATTTTATTTTATTTTAGTCTAGTAGTTAAGCTCAAGCCACCAGAACGTTAAACATCTGGCTTGTTTAAACCTATGTATTTGACAAATACTATTTGTACATGAGTAACCTACATATTTTTCTAGTTTAATATGAAAACACGTCATTATATGAACAATACACGTGCACGACATTTTTCTGTTTATGTGCTAAACACAGGCTTCTTCAATCTCAATTCACCCCAAACGAGAGTTCCATCGATATGCCACATTTTTGTAAGCATTTTTGTAACCGTCTATTAGGTAATGATTGGTAAAAATAAGAAGCTTGGGAAAAAAAACCCATCCGCATAACTAAACAAACAATTTGGACAAGAGGGCCTCCACACCTGTTTATTTTCTATCCAAACAACCCCTTTTTTTTTCAACCTATTTTTCGATAATTATTTGATGCATAATTCGTAGTACGTTTTTAATTGAAAGTTTACATTCTATTGTAAAAATGATTATTAGGATAATTTTTATTCACAATACCTTTTCCAGCCGATCACACCATTTTATTGTGATTTTTATTAATACCCTATACAACATCTGCACACACCTTTATAATCTATAGGCTAATTATTAATTGAAAAAAAAAATGTTTGCATTTCATTTAGTTTTAAAAATACTACAACGTGTAAACCATTTTAAGTTGTTTATTGTACACATTTTATGTGTCCATTAAACGACTTTCTGTTGGTGCAAAGTGATTTAAATGCATGTTTAGTTACTTGGGATGTTAACCTTGATTTGAAGCCCACGAAAATGTCTACCCTATCTCCTAGAAGAGGCTAGGTTAGGTTAAATAAAATGGGTCGTGTTTTGGTTGTATCAACAGTGAACAATATTTATTCAATTCGAACGCTTTTGTAAACATGTTTTTCGTCTTTTTGGCCTACATTCCGCAAATTAAAAATTGAGCCCCCCCCCTCCACCCCAAATCTATGGGATGCATTACATTTGTGTCGGTAAATTTTAAACGATCGTTGTTTACTCTGGATAATCAGGTGTGGGTTGTATATTTTTGTTAAGGGGTCGACATAAGTAACTCGGTTTTCATTCGTTAAATTCTGTCACATTCCTACAGTTGTTCTTAACGTTTAATACTCTCATTCGCATTATAATGGCAACTGACAGATACATTTTTATGGTCTAATCTGTCTTCTGCGTTGTCTTTACGTTTGCAGATGGTATGTATAATTTATATTTTTATACCACAATCAATATATATATATATATACATATAAATATACATATATATATTCTATGATTTATCTATCTAGCTATCATATTTTCACAATATATATATCGTTAATTTTGTTTTTTTAGATAGATTCGAGAAACATGACTTACTTCTCTTAAATGCTAGTAATGGTAATTATAATTATGTTTACTTTAACTATACATAATCATACTATTATGTAAATGCCTTATCATTATAATAATAATCATAGGTATACTTTATATTTCATTTTTATACCATAATGAATATAATTATATGTATATGTACTAACTCAATCTATGATTTATCTAAGCAGCTACGTTTTCAGACAACGATAGTACGTATAATTTATTTTTCATTTTTATACCATAATCCATATACATATATTCATACATTCGATGATTTATCTAACCGCAGCTGCCATATTTCCACAATACATTTATTGATATATTTTTTTTTTTTTTAGGTAGATACGTAAAAGATGACTTACTTCTCTTTGGATCAGAAAATTATGGTAATTATAAATGTGTTTACTTTAACTATACATACTCATATTATTTTGTAAATGTCATATTATAATAATAATTATAATCATAGGCGAACATGAGACTTAAGATTTTCGATGTGGTCTATATATAATATAGTACATGTAATTTTTTAAGTAAAAAATAATTAATACTATTTTTTAAAAAACATGTTTTTCTAAAAAATGGTAAAAAATAGTTTTTTTATAGGAACATAGTTCACTTTTTAAAACGTCTATTTCTTTGAAAACAATCGAAAATTAAATACTATTTTAAATAATGTTAAACACCTATACATTTTGACTAATAAGAAAGCGTGCTTGCTTATACTTTGATGCATATGGACCACACTTCTTTTTAGTCAAAATTTAATGTTGTCTAAAATTGTTT